GAAAAAAAAAACACCGACGAAACGTTGACTTTAATAAATTCACTAGGTTGACGAAATGTTGATGGTTCCCTTTAAATTTGATAGTGCCACCTCAGCCTCCCTCGCAGGAGCCCAGGGTGTGAGAAGGACTCGATGGTGAGAAACAAGGCTTGGACACTACCAACACCTACCGTCACATTAAACCACCATCAATTAAATTAACCTTTTTGCTATCTTCCCCTCCTCAAATATTTCTCTTCACCTTAAACTTCCACCTCCCTGGTCTGTTACAAGAAATGGTGGAGCTAGGGTAGGCTGAAATTTGAACGACACTTATAATCTTTCATGGCCGTCCCCTGTGATCAGGTAATGTCATTACACAATCAAATAAAGCAAATTCTAAAGCAATGGAATAGTCTACCTTCAAGACTTGATAATTTTACAACACTATCCTTTATGACCTATAAAGAATACATTCGAGCCAGCAATGTCCTGTTAATATAGTATTTTCATCTGGATTTATCTAAAGTAAGAAGGATACATCTTTTCAAAATTCGTGTTATTAAAGCAAAGGGGGTAAAATATTGATAAATAGTGCTATGGAAAGATTTGTATGAAGTTAGTTGTAAAGCAATACGCCTGAGTATGAGTCTAGGGGCTACTATGAAATTACTGTACGACTTCATATTACCGGTACTCTAAAACGGAGGCGCCGAAAAAGCGTGTAATACTGAAAAGGGAAACTATACATTAGTCGATCGGAATGTCATTCTTGATGTAATGTGAGTCTGGACAACCAACTGTGAATATCAGTTTGACTCGTAAAATCGCAGCTTTCTTCTTTTAAAGCATGAGGAAGGGATATGACATACAAAATACATGTCAATGTACACTGCAAGGCTGACACAAATTGAGAATCTTTTTCAATTTCATTATCTAAAAGTAAGTGAATTTATAACATAAAGACCTATAAGTCTTTTAAACGTTCAGAATAAAAGTTATTATTAATATATGTTAAAATGAAGTATGACTTTAACTTTGCAAACAGAAGCCTCAGTATTGAAAGAAAAATACACTCAAAAATAAAAATGAAAAAGCAGGTCACCCCAATGCAATGTCATTCGTCATGGACTTACAGACAGTATATCCTATTTATAAACGGAGAATGAGAGTTGTCTCTTTTGAACAAAAGCGACGAAGAGCAATAAAGATCAAGCTCTGATATGCAGCAAAACAATTGAGTCAAATGCAAGTGGACTCCATCCCATAACAAGCGGAAGACAAACGTGGTATTAAACCTGACAGTTTTACAGCTGCCGATGACATGAGTTTGGTTGCGCAATACATATGTTTTATTCCCCTCCCGATTTATCAAATATGATATGATCTCGACATTCAGATAACAAACAGGGAGGATTTGACCTTCCCGATTTATTTATCATGTGCCACTCATGCTTCGAGTTTATAGAGTTTCAGGAGGACAGGGGTAATGCGAGGAGCGTCAATCATGGATGTTTTTCAAGGGTACATGACTACACCGCTAGGGAGACACAGCACTCAACTGCACCCCGAAATGTGCTGCCATCCTAAGTTTGAGGGTGCAAATGGTGACTGAAATTAAATGCTGTTTTAATCTTTTTATAAGGAAGGAGGATTTTGTTGAGGTGCCTTAAAGTTCGTTGTTGCGGTTTCCGTATTTTATCATCTTTCAATTTCTGTCCGTTTAATCTATATGTGCGTGTCTTAATGCTTATGTCTTTACGTGTATACATATACGTAGTCCTATCTTCGTGTACACGTGTATGTAAATGATAACTTTGAAACGGGTCCCTTGGGTGCAAAGTAGTCCTACAATTGAATCAGCGTGTTCATCTTGCAAGCACTACCTTGGAGGTCTTCGACCGGGTAGATGAGCAGCCGAGCACGCGATCGGTGTACTGAATAATGAAACGGAATAAGATCAATCAAATTTACACCAAGAACGCAAGCACCTGTGGAGTAGCGACGGGGGAAGGGGCTGCTCCACCCCTCCCCAAAAATAATAATTCAAATAAATGTGGATAAGGGGGCAAGAAAGAAAGGAGGGGTGTTGAACGAACCCCCTTGTCTTCATAACACTATCCTAATCCATCGCTCTGCTCGCTAATACTTTAACAACCTAGTAGTACCAGTGGCTTCCCTCCCACATGAGTCGACTTAAGCTATGTGTTTGATAATCATAATGTCTTCAAGGTACGATTCAAAGTATTTTACCAATAGTCACATGTTCAGTTATATGTAATCTAATATGTTTCTAAAGTATTGCAATCTTTATTAGGTCGGCTTTTTCCATTCGTTTTTTTTCTTCTTCACTCCTCCCGATGATACCTACTCCTCTAACTTATATTTTCCACTCCATCTTAAACTTGTTGATATTAGTTCTTGTACTTCTTTTAACTCACTCCTCACTTTTATTTAGGGAGGATTAGTGTAAAGTAAATATACCCTCTTTAAACAAATTTCCTTTAGCAGTAATCTGATAGATGAAGTATTAGTTACGTATTTATTTAGATATCTTGAATGTTAATCGGTTATCAATCACTTAATAAATTCTTATTTCTGTCGGTTATTTCCAGAACTCTGAGACATACACGCTTTATGAATATTAGATAACTTACATTCCCTGAAGATTTATACAGGTATATAGACCCTGTTATCCCGGAAAACACATGTCGAAATACCTTATATTCTGTCTTTTATCAACCCCTTCCATCTTGTCCGATATGACGATATCAACTTAACCGTAGCTTGTAACATGAATAAGATGTGTTTTGACTTGAACCCATAAATCACGCACAGCCACTGCATACATGCAGTCAGTGAATGCTGACTGTCAACGTTTTCTGGCTTTGGGGTAGTGCATTCCTAGATAGTACTTGGAAGTATTGTTGAGTTCCCTATTTGTTATTTTCCATGACGTCTTTTCAGGAAATTTCTGTGGCAACCGTATGTCCCAAAATATACATGCGATAACTTTTGGATCTCGATGGTAGCAATGTGGTGTATTGGTAAATACTGTGGTATATTGCTTTTCATAGGAAAATTCCTGCCTTCGGTCTTTGCTGTGTGATTTTATCCTTTAGACAAGGTGTTCCCTTTACATTTACCCAGGTATAAATGGGTAAAATATTGGAGCAATAATGGCTGCAGGGCCCCCAGGAAGAGGATGAGGCTTCCCTGACTAAACAACACATTATTAGTAGTAGCAGCAATTATTAGTAGTAATAGTTTTATTACAATTTTTATCATAATTATTATTATTCTTAATATTGTTATCATGAATATTTTTATTATTAACGATAATATAGGCCTCACTAGAAAATACTGATGAAAATTTTCAAGCTAAAGGATTAAACATTGTTTTAAAAAATAACAGTCAAATTCTTTTTGGTCAATTTCATAATGAAGTATGAGAGCACCTAGATTAATCTCTAGAAGGCCGGAATAGTAGGGAACTAGTTTCTTTATTCTACACCCAGTACGGGTTTGTGGTGAAAGCATAATTTTATCAAAGAAATAATCCAGATCCAGGCTATTTGATTACATAACAGTTTCAGAAAATCCAACGACAACTTATAGCAAGGTGGAACATCAAACTTAATTATATATCTTTTCGTTGCATTGTAAAAAATGAAAAATGATAACAATAATACGAGTGGCTTAACTAAGTATAACCACCGACGTTGTCAAGTAGGTTGTTATTTAAAACAATGCACATATTAAACGTAGCATAAGCTGCTTTTCACGAGGTCTTAAAATGTCTACATTATCAACAGGACAACTTCTCTTTTTCACAAGGCCCGCTAAGAATTACAAAACGCTTGACGTCAGACCCGGTGCATTTCAAAGATTACTTTCGTGACAGTGATATACCAATGATAGCCAGACCTCAACGGTTTACCTACACGTATACGTTGCAAACATTTTATCCGGATTTGCTGAAGGATGATGTTTGTCAGTAGCTGCAGCGAAAGGAAGGAGTGTGTACTCTCAAATCAAGCACGCCATCTTGCGGATGCAGATTGCACCAATACGGAGAGAGTGGAGGGAAAATAACGTCGCTTCTCATTCGTAGAAAGTGATTTACCATAGTCAAGTATGTTGGCAGCCACGGAGGGTTGAGAACGCCCAGCTTCGCAGATTCGAACAAGCGACAGAATTCTCTCGTTCGCATGTTTTTTTTTCCTTCACGATAATATCTTCAAAGATTTTTAGCAGCAACCACCAAAAAGGAAACGGCGCAGTGTATTTTGTTGTTGTTGTTGTATATAGGGCATAGGGAGTGTTTAACTGATTTCAAAGATATAGTATTGACGGCTTTGGCAGATGTACCGGCATATAACGATTGTGTATATTATGAGTGCTTGATTTCTATTGCAAAGGAATTTTCCACGTGAGTGAACGATGACGGATCAAAGTGCGATATAACAAAAGATTCTCCGCTTCATTTCTCTATCAATAACAGATGCCATTGATCAACACAAAACACTTGATTGGCTAAAATATTGAAGTAAAGCGAAATATGTGGAAAATCGACAATAAAGTAAAGGAATACAAGTCACGTCATGTTAACTTGCTAATAAGTGCTGTTTTAACCGTAAGTCTGCATGACAGAGGCAGTAATTTTGTTTTTCATGCTGAAAAGTAACTCTAATCCATTATCTCTGCAGGGATACTAACGGATGATTAGTTCTCATACAATGGGAGTGTGGCCGCAGCAAGAGGAGGGCAAGGACTGGCGACTGGGCGGCGGTACCTGAAGCTCGGCTTGCTTTACTATCAGGATTCTACTCGGAAGTACTGCACGTACTGCTCTCTAATGATAGTATTATACATGTAAAGCTTATGTTTCTTTTAGTTAAACACATCAACGAAGTCAGTCGACATGCAAAGCCGACTATTGCGAATCATCCCATGGCACATCATGCTATTGAGTTATTTTTAAAGGATAAAACATCTCATTTTAATCTGCTAATATGAAAATGCATGGTATCAGGAGATGGACACCGGCCTCTGATGGAACAACATTATGTCTAACGCTTTTAATCTTTATCATCGTATATTCCATCAAATCCTGTTCATGTCAAAGTGTCGAAAGAGTCGAGCTTCCAGGGGATGTGATACTCGGGGGACTCTTCCCCGTTCACGAGAATGGCGTCCATGGATGCGGCCAGTTCGACCTGGGCGGGTACCAGAGGCTTGAAGCGATGGTGTACGCCCTGCAGAAGATCAACAACGACCGTAACCTGCTGCCTGGAATAGATCTCGGTGCTGTTATACTTGATACTTGCAGTAGGGATACTTATGCTTTGGAACAGGCTATGGATTTTGTGGCGTCTACAACGAACAGGATAGATCTGGACGCGTTTACCTGCCCAAATGGAAGCAAGCCTGATTACGTGGCGCCTCAACCGACGGTTGCCGTTGTGGGAGCAGCAGCTAGTCCGGTATCTAGCATGGTTGCTAATATACTGCGTCTTTTTAAGGTAAGCAAATAAAATAAAATAATTTATAATATGGTATTATGGTATAAAGGGAATAATGGGTGCAATAGATTGTTTATTTAAAACTCTCGTCAGTTGGCTGAATGGGGACGAGGATACGAAAACTTGTTATAAATATTTTAAGGCATCTTGGGCACGTTCCTGGATATTTAGGAGCACATTTTCTGAATTTAATTTAACTATGACCGATTGAGTGGTATGCAGTGATCACAAAGTAAGACATGTTTGCACTGTTGTGAATCTCGGATAAGCAACAGGTATACACTTATCTTGTATCGGCTTAATTACGATGTTTGCATGAAAACTAGCGCTGTGTGTTGCTATCGACTGCTTAATACCCATATCAGAATCCAAATACTACTCCTTCTTTGTTGGTGGTAAACAAAACTGCTAACTTAGAGTAATGTTCTTTTTTTGTGATACTAACCTTTGGTGGTTTTGATCGGAAATACATGGACTTGTACACAAAATCAGTTAACAACTCTAATAACCAGGCACTCATAGAAGAGAAACGAGAGTGTTTAACACAAAGAAAGACAAAATGAACACCGATGTATAAAGAGGCCATGGCTAACAAATTTTAACTGACATTTCCCTGCACATTAACTGACATCTCCCTGCACATACTTAGAATCCTTTTATGTGTTCTTTACGTTAATGATCGTAGTCTATTTTTTTGGTTTCATCAATGATTACCGGTGTAGATGGAAACGGGCATTGTTTGTAATGGGGTTAATAGGCTTGTAAAGGGGGCCAAGCTGGTTAATAAGGGGCCAAATAAGGTTATCTCTGTAAACCACATACTAACGGACATATTTCATTCTGGGGGGGGGGGGGGAGAGAGAGAGACAGTCACACAGATATGAGAAGAGAGAAAGAGAGAGATAGAGAGAGAGAGAGGTGGGGGATGTATTGAGTCGTAAGCTATAGGTACAGTGGTTCTGTTAAAACTCGGCTGAAGATTACTAAGAAACGAAAACAGCAAATAAAAACTTTTTTTGATGGTTCCAGAATAATAATAATAATAATAATACTATGTATATTTATATAGCACCGGTATCCGCCAGGCTCTGACGCTCACGGCGCTGTACATACATGTATTACCATCACAAAAATATAACTTTCTTAACTAAAAGAAAGTAAACTAAAACAATACAAATTATTATGCTACATTGAGATGATTAAATAGCACTGTTTAGAATTATTCTTTTTAGCGTATACTATGGCACATTGTCATTTTCGTGCATTGGTTAAAACAAAATTACAACGAAATAACAATATGTGGTGACATGCATATATAGTGTGCACTATACGATAATCCTCTTACATTTAGAAAATTATATTATATTATATCAAAACAATATATATTTAGATAAACTTTGTCGCATTGCTAACTTGGAACTTCTGAAAGATATGATATGATATGGACATGAATGGATACTTTAACCGATCAAAATATGATTAGAATCTCAACCAGCCCTGGTTTCATGCAGAAACGACTTTTACACACATCAGAAAGTAGTCACTGTCATTGATTATGTAATTTTGCATCTACAAATGTATCTATCTCTGTACTCCAGCAAAATCTAGAATGAATAAAATCTAAAATCGTCTATATTCTCTCGCTCCCTTTCTAGCTTAATGCCACTATCTCACTCTTTCGCCGTTCGATAAGGGAGGGGGACAAGTGCCCCCGGTCACTCCATAGTTGTACTGTCATATATGGGCTTATAGTTATAGATCATCGTTATGTCTATTGGACCGGGCCTTTAATCAACCACTGGGGATGGATTGGTAATGGGACTTATCTCAAGTCCATCCTTGTTCAAGCAGCACACTCCGTCCTATATTGACAAACATTACTGGCAATGCATAAGACCGATCTCGGTAACTTATTTCAGTTCGTATGCAGCTGCGTAACTGACTAGCAATGATGACTATTATTAGATCATGGTTGATAGAAATAAAAAATAAAAAACACCTTTTATAAAGAGACCAGCCATTCTATGGATATGAAACACAAAGAATGCCCATGCCATGTAGACGTCGGAACGATGCATATCAAAATTGAATTGGATATTATTTTGTAGGGATTTCATCACTAAGAATTTATCTAAGTTTAAACGGATGCTTTATCTTCATGGGATGGTACCTCATCAATAGGCTGCAGTTAGGAAAAAACTCAAAATCAATCAACAATTAAGGAGCCCGTAATACTTGTCTCCATTTGTTCCTGCTCTCTGTTGGCACAGGGAACATAATTTGGGAGGCCAACAAGAAGTGCGTGCGCGACGTTACCATGAATTATTGTATGTACTTTGCTAATTTGCACCAATCGTCTAAACATGCCCTGATGTTTGATAATGCATGTTGTGGTATTCATCATTAAAATCAGAAGCCTTACAGAAATGGCAGTGTCTTACTAACCTCCCTGCTATTATATACCGTCCACTACAGAAGTGAAGGACGATTATAATAGAAAGTCTCTGTTCATCAGTGGGAGATATTCTTGTAGGGTTTCGGCCATATTAAAGCTGATTGGCTATTAAAGAGGGAAGGGGTACTTCCTGCTTGGTGTTAGGGTTCCAGATGATTAGGGCAAGTCCGCGAATAAAGATGGACAAACAGTTTGAGACTGAACCTATCTGAATCACAATTCCAAGAAGGATCCTCGCATAGTTAAAATTTGAAAATAAAGCCAACCTTGGCTCACTATGGTCCTGTTTTTGTCCCGAATGTCAACAGAATTCATAATTACCATTCAGATATACAGTCATGTATGCTTCAACACTATATAAATTATCTACATGAAACGTCAATTTACCGAGAATGACTTGCATTTTTTTTCTAGATTTAACAATCAATTTGAAATCGTGATAATGATGATGAAACCTCAGAATAGAATAGCAGTTTCGAAACATGTATTTCAGACGTTACAAAATTTACTTCCCCATTAGAAATGTTTGACCATTATTCTGAACCTCCACCAAAACGGCTAGGATCAACCCTGCGTGTTAAAAAGGTAATGGCACTACAATTTTTCATCTACAATGTCCATTTTTATCAGGAACCTATAATATATAAGCACTGTTTTTCAATAGGTTCCTCTATTTCTACTTATTTATAATCTATCATACCAATTGACTATCAATGAGACACGCTTATACCACATGTACATTTATATAATTTATATTTTATATATCTGTCTATATTTTTTGTAAAATTTGGAACAAATAAACTTGAAATTTGGAATCCTATCTCTCGCTGTGGAATACCGTATTTTTCAGCTTCAAGCTTCCTCCTGCAAAAAGTTTAAGAATTCGATAGAAACATCCTTTTTATTCTCCAAAACCTATCTGATATGTTTGTTTTCAATTGAATAATTGATATTTCTATCTTTTCACAACAAATATTGCAATGACAAACCAGTGTGTTATAATGTGAAATAAATGATTATATTAATTGTGTTAAATCTATTACTTTCTGTATTGCTACTTGGTACTTGGTTGGGTAATCCCTTTGGCAGCTCACTCAGGAAGCTATACAGGGATGGTAGGTGAGGCGAGTAACTACAAGGAGTGTCATGAATTGCAGGAATGGTGTGTGGACAAAGCACTCGTTAATTTACAGTAAAATATGCCAAGTCCAGTGCAAGTAAAAACCAAGCTAAGCTTAAATGATGTGGGCTGCATGAGGGGGCTGCATCATTCTGATGGAGGGTAGAGCAGCCTCCTTGAAGTTGGTTATTCCTGTTGCATTAACTGCCGTTATTTCATTTTTGAGCAATGCATGACACAAGAATATGGCACTTTAAATAAACTTATTTCACCTCTATATTTTTCCCTTTTGCGCCTCGGAATAAAAGTCTAGATAAACCATTTAGATGGCTATCATTATCATAATTATCACCATCATTATCATCATTATCATTAGTATTGTTATTATTGTTATTATGTGCCACAAATGTTTAGTTTTTTTGTTGACTGCATCATGAAAATGAATATTCAATTGATCATACAGTGATATTCTCTCAATGTCGAATTTCCATGCTGTACCATACACGTAATAGAATATGCATTTCACTTTGATATAATAGCCATATACGAACATGTACACACGAAACAATTCATGAAACATAATTGAGCCAGATATATTCCGTCTAATACAGGTTCAGCATCATATATAGAATAACAATGACAAATGAAAAGTAGTGAAGAATGCAGTGCAGAGATCAGATCGATAATAGTGTGTTGATCATGCCGTTCGTTCCACCTGCTACCCAGGCCAGCTAACCTTTTACTTCAAATAACATGTACAGTGCATTAATCAGTTCATATTTTGAAATTGCGTTCTATAAGAACATTTTAATTGTTGTATGTATGCCGATGGTATAAACACTTATATTAAAAAAAAAGTGTCAGCAAACACGCGCACACACTAACACACCCACACGCACAACCTTGATTCCCCCACCACACCCACATAATATACTCGGTGCGCAACCCGTACAAAGGAATAGGCTTTTAATCAATTTGACTGAAAAACGCCATATTAAACCACTACAACCTCTAAAGATTCATGCAAAACACACACCCATCTGTATGCATTCTTCAATATTAAAGTATGAACAAACCCGACATAGCAAGATTTTTCGCATGAGAGGTAATGGATGGGTGTGATTAATATTTATCTTTACCAAGGGGTCATAATTATTTTTTGTCTTCTTCTTATACAGACTTAACTGAAAGAAGACATGTCATTAGGAACATAAGATCATGTATTAAAGCCTATGCAACATTGGAGTTACTGCGCTCTTGTGATGGTGATTGTAACAACATCCTCTTCTTATAATATTCATGACAAATTGGCAATAATCAATCTTCGAATTTAGATCTCTCGTCGTTGTTTTATTTCTTTGTTTGAAATCATTAAAATTTCAATTTTAAAACAACTTATAAAATGACCGCACATTTCTCGACAAT